CCTGCCAAAATTACTTGTCAGATCAAAATTTGTTAAAGGAAAAAGTTGTTCCTTTTACAAAGTATCACGTCCTGTACTCCGAATGCGCCAATTTTGGGACACCCTGTATAATTATATGTAAAACTTTTTCCCAGGTATATCCATCCCAGGTATATCTATTGGCGTCATTTAGCGCGTTGACCGCGCTAAATGATTGACCATTTTGATCCGCCATATTGTTGCAATAATTTTATTATTTTGATCATATATCACGATATTGTTGAGGACACGCCAGTCATGATGATCACTGCGTTTTTAAGTAAAATTGCATAATATCGTGACATTTTGAGGTTTGGCCGCCATCATGAATTTTAAAATGATCATGTATAAACATTTTTAAGTTTAAAGTTCGTGAACGCCGATATTTTAACTGTTCAAGATTATCCTAATGTCGTTTCAATGTGAAAATACCGATTAAAAAAAATTAGAATGAAAAATGACGATTTTTTTCCAAAAAATCGATTATAACTTTTTTAGATTTATTTTTAAAAAATTCTAAAATAGCATGAAATTTTGCGTCAAAAATGATGTTGCTTGGATTTTTATGCAAATGGCAAAGCCATTAAAATAAAAAATTAAACCGCTCAAAATTATTCAAAAAATGCTTCTGCTTGGACATTAATGGGTTAAAGTAAAAAAATGTATATACATATTATATATAATTTCTGCGGATTTGGTAGAAAATTGTTATAGTAGAAATAGTTACAAAATATTTTTAAGTTTTATATTACATCTCTTAGCAAATAATTCTTTTAATTATGTATATATATAATATATATATAATATACATATAATATATATATATATAATATCCAGGGAAATTTCCTAAGTTTTGTATTTAAAGTTTTTTTATCCAGTTAGTATTTTCTGAGATAGAGGGGGATCCGATACTTTTATGAACACCCTGTATATATATATATATATATATATATATATATATATACATATTATATATCGTGTATAATATTATAAAACAATTAAAATTTATTACGATATTTATTACACATAATTTTAGCTATGAGAAGGTCGTCCCGAAATTCAAAGGGATTGCCTAAACCAAAGTAAGTTTTGTAATATATATATTTTGTCTATGTATTTAATATATTCATATATTAGCGCAACATTTATCATTGAAAACCAAACAATAAACCTTTTTAAACTATTTATGAAATAAAAATAGTAAAAATAATCGAAACAATATAATATTCCAGAAACATTTATAGAACTATGTCATATATTCAATTAATACAACAATCCTGCTGCGAGTCTACTCCAGGTGGAAATGGAAAGGTGGGATTGCCTTCAGAATCAAATTGAAAAAGTGAGCACTGTTCACCAACAAGGTCGTCAGGTGCTTGACCATAACTTTGCATTTCTGTCATAAGTTTCAATACACATTCAAATCGACGTTGCTTAATATCTTCTGTATCGTCTTCTTTTTCCTTTTCTAATTCAATACACACCTTACACAAGATACAATATATTAATTGTAAAGCTGCAGCATAGGTTAGTTATTTGATTTATTATCAACATACCTTTTGCATCAACTCTGACTGTTTTGTATACCTTTGCAAATCAGAAGCATTCAAAGTGGCTTTGTGTTCCTCTATCCACACTGGATATTTATCCGACAGTTCTTTCAATGATGGATAAAGAATTTCTTTTGATAAAAGATGCTCCATCATTCCTTGCATAAATGGTAATAAATCACCAGTATCACCATCGAGAGATGTTTGCCCTAGCATAGCTGCCATATCTGCTTCATTCTAAAATATATTTTATTTATTTTGATCATAATTTAATTCTATTATGAAAACGAATTGAAACTAATATTACCTTATTTATATTATTATTATTATTAATTATATCTACAGCTTTTAACATTAAATTACATAAAAGAAAATCAATATAGAGGAATATTAATGCTATGAAGATAATAACTATTTGTCTTATAATCTTATTTTAATTAAAAGTGTCATTAATAGATATATAGGACACTATATTTATACAGATTAAATGTCATTAAATATCATTAACCTGTAAATTTTCAGAATTTGCAGTTAAATCCTTCAAAACTTGTGAAATAGCAGATTGAAAATCTGCGTTCACATCTTTTTCATCTGCCGTATTACTAGATGATGTTTGTCCAAACTTCTGTAAAGCAGCCTCCAGTTCGCTATCTCCTAATAATAAATTTTTATACTAATAGACATATTTGTTTCGTGTCTCTTGTATATTTGTTATGACCTCACCATTTTGTAATAAGTTTTGCAAATTTTTTTCAAACTGATCGGCTGTTTGTTGGAGAAAATCTTCCGTCCACTTGACTTCAAATGTTTCATGTTTATCTGTTTGCCTCTGTGAATCTTCTGTATTTACATTATTGCTCTCTTCGACACTTGATATAGATACTTTATTGAAATCTTCTAAAGCACCTAAGAGACAAAAAGATTTCAATAAAAACATAAAATATATAATTAATATATTATCAAGTTTTATAAAATATTAGTAATTCACAGAACAATATAACGATACTAAATGTTATATTTTTTTCAGAAATATATCATCAAAAATATTTTAAAAAGCTTATTTAAAATTACAAAAAACATTTATTATGTAACTATGAAATATAATTCTTTTCTTTTAATTGACTGTAGAACAAAATTTGCGCTATATTTCCGTAAGGTTAGACTGATTTTCTAAATAAAATGTACTTACTATCCAATAAATCATTTAATTCTTGATCTTCTGTCTCATTTTTTGTTTGTTTGACATTATCCGCCATATTTGCGTAATTGTAATATTTCACTTCTCACTAATTTACAAAAACAAATTCTTCTGTGCAAATATGCAAAAAAATGTTCTCGTCGACAAGATCCAAAGATGCATCCATAGATCTTACATATCTGGATGCGTCTTTGCATCTAAAGTTAAGAACCGGTAGAAATCACGGTGGAGACCTCTGTCTTCGGAAACAAATTTTTCTGTGTCATTTGCTTGCGCAGATTGCTAAAGTCACTAGATTCATAATCTAGGGACTTTACAGGCTGCTAGAGTTCCTACAGTGGATGTATACCAAAAAATAACGATAACCTCAACCACTCGACGAGAGAGTTGAAGGAGCAATTTCCATCAAGTAATAATGTTATAATAAAGTAATAAAAGATGAAAAAGTCTTGAACTTAAATTACTAGCGCAGCAATTACTTTGCATGAGATTTATTTTCACGCGAATCTAAATAGCATATCAAGAGTCAATGGTCTGTTCTTTTTAATTGCGTTTTCTGCAGTTTAGCTCTTTTACAGCTGAACATTTATCAGTATCTAGTCACGTATCAATATTTTCTTGTGTATAATTTTACTTCTCGATTTTAGATAAAATTTATTTGTAAAGACAACAATGGATCAAGTGTACAAGCTTTACGATCGTCAGGCATCAACAAAGATCTGCATAAAGGATTACTTTCAACAATACAGCGAATTAATTAAGTCATCTAAGTGTCACGAAATTGACAAACAAAGCGAAGAAAAGATTTTCCAACTTATGGGTACTGATCTTTCACAAGCAAGAATACTTTTAATGAAACATTATTGCAGGTATCTTATGCAATAAATATTATATTTACTAATAAAAATATTCATTATATTGGAATCAATTTTATAGTATCGATAATTTAACATTACCAATGGAAGCTGCCAGTGCAGAAGAACAAGAAAAACGAGGATATGTTAATATACCTGAAAGAATTTTAGATAATATTTCATTGGAAACAATTAAAGTATTGAAGGTCTTATCTAAAGAAGCTTCAATGAAGCCAAGACATCAAAATGGTGTTCCTATTGTACGTAATTACTTCCAAAAAAGATTCAATAATCCAAGATATCACACTAAGATCTCTGAGACCTTAATAAATTTTCCAAACTCTATTATTAGTAGAATTATTAAATAGAGGGATCATGTTTATTTGTGGTTTTAGACCACTGAGTGAATAAATGTATTTCTTAGTTTATTAACAATTGATTTGAAAAATTACAATACAGCTAATTTTCTTGAGCACTATGATGAAAAGATTGGCGAGGTCTTCTAAATTCTTATGATACATATATGAAAAATAAGTGTGTGTATCTAGGATTAAGAATAAGATTTACTAAAATTGAATTAATATAATTATTATGATTTTATAGTCACTATATTACGTACTTTCTTTGCTTAATGTGCATGATTATTGTGACAAATTTATAACATTGAAAGAAATTTTTTTTTTTTTTAGAAATATGACAAGCCAAAATCATCTGATAATATAAAACCAAATGAAGAATTTTTAGTTTACATCAGGGTGTATGAACCATTTAAGAGTCATCCTAGTTCTTTTAAGCACAAAATAAATATTCCAATTCTTAAACTGAACAGTATCATATCGATATTAGGATGTCAAACTCTTTATCAGTTACGTCAAAAGATAATGTGTCAATCCGACTTATCAATTACAACAGAAATTAGTGAAAATCCATATCAAAAGCCTGGACCAATGGCAAAAGTAATCATTCTTTCAATTTTGAATTTTACCTATATAACAATGTGTTTATTACATATAAAAATTAATTGCATTTGTTACTATAGAATGGCTACAAATCAGGATTCTTTTATATTGAAGATACATTTTATAATGATCTCAGTGAGCCAAGTAACATTGATTATAGTAATATCATAATGGAATGGGCAGCAGCTCGTGATATAGGTCCATTTAAAGTTGCCACCATGGATGCTCAGATAAATTCTCTTTGTACAAAGTTTGGCTTTCCATGGGTATATCAACACCAAGGTTGCTGCGAACACTTAATTGTCTTGACTGATGCCAGGTAATTTTTATTAATATAATTTAATGGAGAAATTCGTTAAATTTGAAACATTTAATTCTTAATACTGCCAAAAACAATAAAATCATGAAGAAATAAAAGAAGTGTCATGAAGTAAAAAAGATGCCACAAAGCTATGATATTTGCGTTATTAATAATACTATTCAATAAAAAAAATGCATAACAAAGATAATCATGCATCTCATAGTTTTTCAAACACTGAATATGGTCTTGTTCATTAAATTGTCCTATTATGTTACAATTTTTTGAAATTGCGGTTAAAGGTACAAAAAAAGTTAATATATTTTAACACATACTAAAATAACTTTTTTTTTATAAATACCTGTGATTTGATGCTCATAACGTTCGTGAGCATCAATTCTTGTTTGACAAATTTGAAAAATAAGAATGAAATGATTCCAAGAGTGTTGTAAGCGTCAAAACGAACGCAGAGTACATGTGACATGTTGGAAAAGTTTTATTGCATTCAAAATTAAATATGTTGAGATATCTCTCTCTAACCTTTAAAAGAATTTGTTGTAATTGATATATTTATAGTTACACGATTAAATAGATATTTATGATTAATATGGAATATGTTTCTACCAAAAGTAGCAACTTATATAGATTATTAAGGGTTTTCTTATCAAATATTTTTTATATAATTATGTTAATAATTATTAGTTTAGTATTGAGCGATCAGAAAAACTTTTTATGTTTGAATAATGTAATTATAATTTTTTGGTAGATCTTTAAAGGCCTATAAATCTCACAACTTCAATGCAATAGACTCTATCTTAATATCATAAATATCTTTTTAATCATAATCAACATATACTCTTTTTTGAGACCTCAAACTGCTAAAAACATACTTAATTTTAACTACAATAAAACTCCAACACGTAAAATATTAGTTACATAATATAAATATTTATTACGACCGTATAAGTGTTTCACATAACGAATATAAATAAGGAAGGCCAATGCACGGTTATAGCAGGATCTTGGTGCTTCAATTATTTTCTTATGTGATTTTACATACATATCCTAGCTTCGACGAAACTGCGTTACTTCCGGATTCAACGCAACTCCCCTGATAGAAATAGGACCGTATTAACACGTTTTAAATTGCTAATTAATTTAATAAGTACTT